TAATATTAGATTATCGATTTATTTAAAACCCAAAAAAAAAAAAAAAAAAGAATTTACCCGACACATGTCTCCTCCAGCCAACGACATCCGACTTCGGTCGTACTCCCCAAACAAAATCCTCGGTCTTCCTCAACGCGATAGTATGATCGGTCGTATCCCACAAAGAATCCTTTCCCTCTCGGTTCACCCCGTACGTGAACAGGCATTTGCCTGCACCCCCTGGAGGCACATACTCGATCTCAACCAACTCATCCTTCCCATTATTAACCGCTCGATCCAGCTCATCCCCCTCAACCATATGATTACGATCATCTCCGCTCACATGCGAAGCCTCCACGCGGGTCACTTCGCGCGATTTGCTACTACTCGATTTCGCTTGCTTCAAAGGATCCCTCTTCGCTTGCTTTTTTGCACCTCCAGTAGCCTTCTTCCGAAGAGCCGCGAAATCAATACACCCATCTAAAAAAAAAAAAAAAACCATTTACTCACGGATAAAATAGAATAGCAGAGACAACACAAAATAAGGCACATATGCATAAAACATGTAGACTACACGCAACGGTGTAGGCACCTGACCCTTTGGAATAAGACAACTCGGATCGAACTCCAAAGCACACAACCCCGACTCCTTAATACGTTTCTTCATATTCTTCATTATCTTAAAAGATTCGCATACCGGATTTCAAACAAGGGGAACATCGGACGTCGGAGCCCTTACATAAAAAAATAAAGTACTCCATTTATCCCACTTCAAGTTAATGCTCTTCAAAAATTTTAAAGGAACCCGAGGATGTGTGCAGAAGAAGGGTAAATCACTTGAACGATGTAGGGTAAACAAGGCCTTGAACATCTCAACACTAATCGGTAATCCCACTTCGATCATTCTTTGTCGAAAAGCTTCGAACGTGAGAATCACGTTCGGAGTTAATTGACTATATCCTACCCGAAATTCCTCACATACCTTCAAAAGAGTGGAATGAGGCACAATCTGCGAGGAACATGTCAAATATGCGACATATTGGGTGTGGAACCCTACGGGGGGTGCATACAATCGTTCACCTTTTTTAGGTAAGAGCAACTCAATATTCCTCGGAGCCCCAACTAGCTGACGAAGAACACCAAATTGAGATTCGGTTAACGAAGTATCATAATCCACCAAACTGAAATTAAGTGGTTTTATTTTCTTCCCTCTATTTTTATCTATAATGACATCTTCTCGTGGAACATCTTCACCATCCCCCACTTCTCCATCCGGCTTGACATCACTCTCGGGGCCTCCCAGGCCTCGGGCTGGTTAGATAGAATTCGACAGGAGAGAGGTAAACTCTCCCTCCGCA